TATCGCAAAATGCTTCCATAGTTTGACAATAGAAATCTAGGCAGTCTCGAACATGGGCCTAGCGCTTTCTGAAGACATCCTCTACATGAATTTGCTCAGGTAAATGTCGTCAATCCAAACTTCATCAGTTGTCTGTCTTTTGAAGGTAAGGCGTTCTTCTTCCAGCTCAAGCATGGTCTCCAACATCCATTCTGACTCTGAGTTGCCATCACTTGTGCTGAAAACTCGACTCCTTCTTCAACATTTCTCATTGGCAGCGATCAAATTGTGGAAGCAAATTGATCAAGTTAGGAAGTGAGCAAAACAAAAGAATTTTTGCTTGTTCAGATTATTTTCTGTCATATAAATTTTTAGATGCAGACAAACTACGATAAAAGTAATTGAGCAGAACGAGACATTAAATTCCAATGAGACCGAGGAAGCAAGGCAAGTATAAATAGCTTTACTGTTTTCGATTAGAAGACCTAATGAAAATTATGTACATCAAAAAATTCGATATTTAACATCTCATTTTCTCCCAGAATTGAAGTTACAACTTATCAAAGGAATTTTTAAGAAGATTTTCGAGACGATAACTTTGGAGACGGGATTAGAGATTGTCACAAAAGATTTGAGTAATAAGTAAAATCTAACGGTAAAAGTTATTGCACAATCATGATTTTTCGAGATCGCTAAGCACAAAATTTTGTAAATAGCAAGTATCCAACCATTTAGCAGGCTTCAAACTTAAAAATCTAAATATTAAGAAGATAAGTTTGGATAGCTTAATTACCTCAATTACTACTGTGCAGGAGTTAATATCCTGCCAAACATTCAAGGTTGGAAATAGTCATCATAAAATGGTAACTGGTGAATTCATTTCTGCTCCTGGATTGTTGACTTGAGCTTGACGATTAAAACATTTTGCTGATTTGTTATGCTTCTGTGAGAATCCACATGAAATCAATACGTTATTAGGGATTTATTTGAAGCATGACAAAGATTTCAGCAACATACTGTAACAAAGATTCGACACTTCGAATATCTGATTTTCAAAATCTGAGACCAAACATCAAAGTTCGAATGTTCGCAACAAATCATTTTTTGAATTGTCCGAGAACGACTGTAGAATAAATGAAAATTCAAAAATTTTCTCTTTTCTGCTTATCCGATTATATTATAATACCGCTCATGTCTTCTGCAGAAAAAATATTTGATATGATCACTCTGACAGATTGAACCGCGCAAAAGTTGTCTTGACAAGAAGAATAGAATTCAAAAAAAAACGCTGTATTCATGTTACTTGTTGTAATGTCTTAGTAAGGTTGTGCGGAGAGGTCAACATCATGAATTTACCTGGAACTTTGTCTCGAACTTTCTTTTATGCGCTACTTACGAAAATATTGCGCATCTCGGTACGCCTTACTGTAGAGAAGCTGTTGGTGATTATCTGCTCACAATACGAGATTATAGGAGACTACC